CCCCCACACACACACACACACACACACACACACACACACACACACACACACACACACACACACCTTGCAGCTGGACGTCTGAAGGACTTGAAAACACAGAACGGCTCAGTTTGCTGAACGATGCGACCAAAACCACCAAAAAGTTGGAATATTATTAAAAATGTAAATAAGAACGAAACTCAGCCGTGTGCAAATTAAACGCATCTTATTCACAATGGAACATCGTGAACATATTAACCGTTGAAAAACAGTTGTACAACGTTTTTAAGGAGAAAAACAAGCCAATATTGAATCTGACGGCAGCAACGCGACTCAAAGAAACGTTTCAACGGGAACACGAAGTCTGATGGACACAGCTGGTGGAGAATCTTCTGATGAACTAGTTAACTGTCGACAGGTCAGTAAACGCACCGGGTGCTAAAGAGACTTCCAGAGGCTGAATCTGTTAGAAGGATCGATGGGCAGAGGGTCATCACTCTAAAACCAACGGTCCACAGTAAAATACTTTGAGTCTGAACACTTCCATAGATCACTGGAAACACAGCTCATCCACAGATGCTACTTAAAGCTCTATCAGGCAAAGAAGACGCCAGATGTGACAGATGTGAACAACCAGAACCACTGACGTCCTCTCTGGACCAGAGCTCGTTTCAAATGGACCGAGGTCAAGTCCAGAACTGTTCTGGGGTCAAGTCCAGAACTGTTCTGGGGTCAGACAGGCTGGATTTAGGACTTGTCTTTGTCCTCTGCACTAAGAGGGACTGTCCAGCCTGTGATCAGCGCACAGTATAAAAACTGCCTCTCTGATGGTATGGGGGTGCATTAGTGTCTCTAGAATAGGGCCGCTTACACATTTGGAAAATCTGCATCAATTCAGAAAAGTGTTTACAAGTTTTTGAACATCTAATTTTGCAAACCAAACAAACAAAGCCAGAGCAGATCCAGGACTCTTCAGAAGTCCTGGATCCTCCATCAGACTCACATACATACTCTAGTTTAACTGTGCTGTAGTTTAACAAGCTGTGTTGTAGCCTTTAGCTGCTGTTTTACTACACCTTTTAGCTAGCCTTCTGCTACTTTTAGCCACCCTTTTATTGCTGTTCGCTTTAAGCCATTACAAAGCACAGTTCCCTTTGTTTTCTTTAAACTTGCAGCTTCCCTTTAGCTACTTTCAGCCACTTAACCTTGTTTCATTTAACAAGCCTTTTAGCTTTTAGCTTTTTGTTGCATCTTTTAGCTAGTCTTTTGCTACATTTAGCTTCTAGCTATGATTTTGCCAGTTTAAGCTTTAGTTTGCTTTTTTGCTACATTTTTGTTTTACTTAGCCTTTTGCTACTTTTATACAGCTTTTAGTTGCCTTTTGCCCCTTTAAACTTTTAGCTTGCATTTTGCTACTTTGAGCTTCTAGCTATGGTTTGGTCAGATTTAGCTCATTTTAGCCAGAGTTTATTATTATAGTTATTAGTTTTTGTGTAGAAACCTAATATTTTTTATCCAATACTAAAAAACCAACAGATTAGGTGTTTAAACTTTTTCAGAGTGGAGCAAAAGTTTATTTCTTAATAAAAGCTTGTTTTTCCTCTACGCCTAATAAAACTAATAAAAATCAACGTCAGAGTTTATTCCAGACAAGTCCATGTTTGTTAAAAACTTTCTAATGTGATGAAACAGCTGCAGAGGACAGCTAAAGGCTAAAGGGCTAATTTACGGACAGTTAGAAACAACTCGCTAACTTCATTTAAACACATCGAGTCAAACTTTTGCAGTAATTAGATGCAGCTGTAATAAAAGTTGCTTAAGAGGAAAAACACTCACCAAAGTTTCAAAGCAGGCGGGCAGTGGACTTCTCTTCTCCGACTCAAATTAAGGCGAAGAAACGTTTCTAATGTAAAACTTTACGACATGTCCCTGAAGGCAGCGCCGAGCGGGGAATTGTCCCGGACCCGCAGGACCCGCACAGGCGTTTTCCAAACCCGAAGCCGCGATAAAGAGTCTCCTGCCCGCAGTTCGTGCCTCCTCCAGAGCTCGGATGATCCACAGATAAATGTCCGGCCCGAACCATCCTCCTCCTCCGGTTTGTAGCGGATTTTGAAAAGCGGCCGTGAGAGGAAGAGGCGGAGACCTGCGAGTCCAGACCCCACCCAACCCCCTTCACCCCCCCGTGGACCGAAGCGGAACCGCTGGATTCAAAAGTTACATCTGTCCTCCGTTAGACCGGATTTCATCTGAAAAATGGACAGAAGTTTGACTCACAGAAGTTTGTTGCAGTAGCCGCCCATCCAACGAGTGTGTCCGTTCCTTTTCAGTCAACCGGCATACCACCCGGCTGGAAGTGGTGAGTGGAAGGAAGGAGGAGTCACCTTAAATCAGGACCAACCGGTCAAACAATCGTTTATAGACTTTAACAGCGGACCACATCGTTATACACGGCCATAAAAAATAGATATAATTAGTTGATTAGAGCAGAAGCTGTAAATTTAGCAGAATCACTTAATGAATTATTATCGCCAGCCGCGCTTGTGTGTAGTAAATGGAGTGGAGCTGGTCTCCTGTCAGTGACCCGACGACTCAAAACGAAATATTTGTTCTGTAAACAATTTGATCGGAGCTTTTGGATCTAGTTATTAAGCAGTCCAGCCAAATTCAGATACTAATACATTCATAACATCAAGCATTGATTACTGCAAACATTTCTTTTTGGAGTCAGACCTACTTGTTTAACTGGTTCAAAAGTGCTGCAGCCTGATTTTTAACTGGTACAGGCAAAAGAGAGCACATTTCTCCAGTGCTGGCCTCCCTTCTCTGGCTCCCTGTTCACTTTCAAATTCATTTTAAAATCCTTCTGTGTGTTTTTAAATCTCTGAACAGTTCTGCTTCTGCCCCCTCCTGTCTCACTGATCTGCTGCAGCCATATGCCCCACTGCGCTCTCTGAGGTCAGCAGACCAGATGCTTTTATTGGTTCCAGGCACTCGTTTTAAGCTCAGAGGTGACTGAGCTGGATGGAAGTGAAACTGTCTGACATTCACGCAGACTAAACAGTTCACGAGATGTTGTCTCATCTTCTGAACCCGTGACCTGAAGCAGGAGAAGTGTGTTTTCCAAAGACGAGCTCACAAACACATCTGGTCTCAGTAACGAGGTGACACCGTCCTCAGAACCAGCAGCATTCAGTCAGATTCTACTTGTGGAGGATTGTTTTTCCCACAGCTTGACAAAAACTCCTGTATTATGCTGTTGAATTACAATTATTTAATGTTTCTGTTTAACCAACTAACTTTACTGCAAATTAACATTTTAACTATTCAACAGTATTTCTGTTGTTATGAAATCCAGTAAAACATTGTTACCACAATTTTGAAGAGCAGGGGAACAACTAAAACATGCAGGATGGTGGCCCTCAAGGATCAGTATTAGGCCGTACAGATTCATGAATCACCCTCATTCACATCCATCATCTGGTTCATGACATATTTTACTAACAGTACACACACACACATAACTTGCTTATGTCCACAATGGGGACGCATGTTTTAAGTACCCACCTTAGGGGACACCCCTTTTAGAGACAAACTAGTAAATTATTTTGTTTACACTACACACACACACACACACACACACACACACACACACACACACACACACACACACACACACACACACACACACAGGTAAAGTCATTATTGGCACTTTGCTTTCAGTTTTATTTTAACTTACAATGTATTTCTGCTAAGGAACTTCAGTTCCCACAATGCTTTGCGGTGTGGTGCCAGCTGTGTTTGTTCTGCTCATGATTGCTGTGGTTTGTTTTGGACTCCATGACGTTTAAAAGCTGTTCCAGGAGGCTCGTCTGGTTATCTTTAGGGTCTTTGTGTTTTGATGAAGACTTCCTGTCTCACCCAGCACAGCTCCTGTCTCACCCAGCACAGCTCCTGTCTCACCCAGCACAGCTTCCTGCTTCTGTCTCACTGGAGGCCGTGAAACGAGCAGTTGAAGTTGAACATTGACCTCGTTTCTTGTTGTTGTTTCCCAACCCTCGTGCTGCTGGACTTCTCCTCTGCCCACAGAAACCAGTCGGACTCTGGTCTGAACAGAGAATGGCCCACATGAAGACAGCTGTGTCCTTTCTGTTGCTGGTCTACGTCTCGGTGCCGGTTCTTCTGTACCTCTTCCCTTGGGTCCTGGGCCATGCCGTATTCTCTCACTTGTGTAAGTAATGTGCTTCCAGTTCAGTTTAACATCACTTAATGTTTTTTAAAATCAAAACGCGAGGCTAAACAGACCTGGAAGTTAAAAAAGTTACAAGTAATTCATGTGGAATCTAAGAATGGGTTTTCTGTTGCACTTGAGGTGATTTTATATTTTATATTTTGAGTCGTATTTACGCGCTGCTGCTGAAAGTTATGATTTTGCGAGTCAATATTTATTGATGGTCTGTTGCTGTTGTTGATTCTTGCCACAGGAGGGCGCTGCTGTTGGCAGAACACACAGTGACCCAAAGGAAGACAGAGGCGGAATAAACATAATAAAAACACCTAATTCAAGATGGCCGCCACAGCTAAACAACCTTATCTAAAAAATTTTTTAAAAAAGTCAAAACCTTCATCAGCTTTAAATGTATTGATCTCACGTTTGGTGTGGTAGTAGCTGAGAGTCACCCCGGACACACACTCAAAATGTTGAATTTAACTCTGTCTGTTAGCAAAATATCACATGAACCTTGGAACTTTCAGAAAATGTTGGATGTTGAACATAATGGAGAAAAAAACATGTTTTTACACGAAGAAACGCAGTAAACGTATAAAAAACAGGTAGTTTTAAATTTGATGGGAACAAAACATTAAAAGAAGAAGGGAAGAGGCAACAGACGTAGGTGATGCAGACAAGAAACAGCTGGAGAAACAGACGT